AATTTGGGAAGAACAGACATCTTAACAATATTGAGTCTTCCTATTCACAAACACAAATTCATTTTAGACCTTCTTTTATTTTATTGATAATTGTACTATAAATTTCTGCATATAGAAGTCTTACATAATTTGTTAGATTTATGCCTAAATATTTCATGGTTTTTTGGTGCCATTGTAGATGGTATTTTTTTAAATTTACAAATGGTCATTGCTAATACACATAAAAATATACTGATTACTATATATTGACCTTATATCCTGCATCCTTACTAAACTCATTTATTAGTTCTAGGAGCCTCTTTGTGGATTCTTTGGGATTTTCTATATAGACAACCATGCCATTTAAGAGTAGAGACATTTGTTTTTTCCTTCTAATCTATAGGCCTTTTATTTCTTTTTGTTGCTTTTTTTTTTTTTTTTGCCCACCAACACTAATCATAACTTTTAAACAAAATACTTCACTTTAACCAAAATTATTTCACAGAGAAAACTGGGAGAAGGGAAATTGAAAAGTCACTCTTGTACACAAACATTTTACTAAATTATCAAAGTTCATGAATACATAGAACAGAACTATCTATAGCTGCACACTTCTGTGCTCCTCTTGATGTGATAAAAATGAAGAAGTTTTCTTAATATGATCCCCCAAATATAGTCACTCTTTAGCATATAAAAATAATTAGTAAAATATATAAATTTAAAATTGAACTTAGTCATCAATGTTTAATTATCCATTCTTAGAAAGTATCTAAGTAAACAACAATTATCAATTAACTCAATTTAATATTAATTCAAGTTACCTAAAGATGTTGGAAATTATGTCCAAGCTGACAGACTACACAGCATAAACACTGCTATGAAAACATTTTTCAGAATTATCATTCAATTTAGTTAAACAAAATTTACATTTTTTTATAATCTTAAATGCTATGTAGGAGTAATGTTAGTTTATTTGATCAGTAAACCAGGAAGTTAGGAAGTTCATGAGAAAAAGCACCAAGATCTTCATACTTGTAAATTCAAGGGAAAGATATATAATTATTGCTTATTTTTAAACCAAAATAATTGAACCAGTCTGATTTTTCTAAAGATTTATCTTAATTATGTGAACTTGGATTCTTATACTAATGTGGTTATGAGCTAACATTTTCATTAAGAATCATTTTTAAAATTTAGTACTTTAAACTGTAGTTTACTTATTTTCTGTATATTGGGGGAATATGAGATTTATATAAGATTTATCAATTTCTGACAACTAGTCAGATCAGAGCTCCTTTATTTTAAGACATAATAATCTAACCTGGAGGTAAGAAAACATTTCATACTTGTACAATGTGATATCAAGGCCTTTTGTGAATCACAGACACACAGCCCTCCTGACACACAGACAGCTCATAGCTTCAGTTCTATAGCTTCAGCCTCAAGTCAAAAATAACCACAGAAACACAAAAATTCACCAGTTCAGATCTCAAAGAACTATTCTTTCCAGTGAGCATGAAATTCTTAATTGATTTGTACTCACAAATAGATAAACATACAATTTTTTTTTAAAAAAGTTTCTCAAACCAGAATATCTGTCTCACCTGTCAGAGAATAGATCTCCATCATCCATTCACAAAAGACCATAAAACCAAAATCCCAACTCTTGCTAACACCAAGGGGAATAACGAACCAGAAACTAAAAAAAAAAACATAAAATCTATAGACATGAAAAACAGAAGAAATCTAGAGAAATAGAAAGCCAGCAAACTTAAGAGTTCTGTTGCCATCTGGGATTCACTCTGGAAGCAAGAAAAGACGCGTCTGGGCTTACACAGCCCTTGAGATGCGTTTCTCAAGCAACACAGTTTAATCGGCTCTGTCAGGTTAGTCCACTTGGGCATCTCTGTAGAGCAACCCACAAAAAGCATAATCTTCAAAAAGATAAAATCTTGACTCTTGTGTAAATATAAAATGAACACATGTCAAAGATTTTATTCAATTCATTAATTAATGAGGGAACCAGTAATGTACTAAGACTTGTTCAAAGAATATTTGAAGAGCTAGGTATTTAAAGATAATTTACTACAGAAATGTTAGGATATGATTTCTGGGTTAGATACAAAACCACTGAAAGTTCAACAGGCTAATAAAGTGTAATATTTGGGGTTATCAGTTCAATCAGACAGAAAGTACTTGTATCTCTACTGGACAAAAAAATTTCCAAGTTAACATATAATGTCATATAGTCTGAATCTTTAACCAATAGTAAGCAGAGTTGAACAAAATATACTCCCCCCCTTGGGTGGGTCTGGGGCCATTCATGATGTTCAAGGGACATGCCACTCGCTTTATTTCAAAGCTCTGAATAATTTTTCTGGACACTAAATAAAAGCTGTATTACTTGGGAGATAAAAGCTTCATGCCATTGTGTTCTTGGACAGCAAATATAGTCAAAGACTGATTGCTCTTGATTGATGAAACGATATCCTGTTCCCTTTACCCAAGACCACAAAGCTACTGCAGATCAAGGCTGAGGCTAGAACTGAGGATTTCAACGCCCATCATTCTACATACATTGTTTGAAATACTACTCTCTAAAGAAGGTTGATTGGTTCAGACAGTTTCAAGACAGATCAATAAAATAAGGGAAATAGACCCTCAATGCTAATATACAGGTACCCATTAGAAGAAGCTGATTGAGGTAGAGAAGATTAAAGAGAGAGGACCTCTTTCTGAAAGGGTGGAAAGAGGTTCCAAGTTTGAAGTTCGTAACAGTAAAATGCCCAGCATAATCCACCCCCACCCCTTGAATGCCTCCTTCCAACGATATTGCAGACCCCAACCTGAGGGAATCCCATTTGGCTACGTTCCTGGCCTGTTCATTGACTCTGGAAAGCCAGTGGGGGGATAGATTTCGATCCCAAAACGTGACTTGTGGATCTAGTTCTCAAGCCCACTCCACCCACCCCCTGCAGCATGGCCAGAGGAGTGGTTTTGCTGCTCTGCTCTGTTTCCTAGGGTCCCTTAAATCACCCTTGGGCTTTTCAGTTTAACCTTCTCTGTCTGCTTTAAAAACCAAATGAAGATGGGCAGGAAAGTTTCCACACCCCTAGGACTATGTTTTCCAAACTGATGGAACATATACTTTTAACCTTTATGTAGCAAAATAAAACACAGGTACAGATAACCATATGAAACGATGCTAGTGAATAGTTACAAGATGAGCATCTCTTTTTATTTTTTTGCGGTAAGCGGGCCTCTCACCTCCGTGGCCTCTCCCGTTGCGGAGCACAGGCTCCGGATGCACAGGCTCAGCGGCCATGGCTCACGGGCCCAGCCGCTCCACGGCATGTGGGATCCTCCCGGACCGGGGCACGAACCCGTGTCCCCTGCATCGGCAAGCGGACTCTCAACCACTGCGCCACCAGGGAAGCCCCAAGATGAGCATCTCTATAACCACCACCCAGGTCAAGAAACAGAACTTGGCCAGCCTCCCCAGAAACCTCCTTCCTGCCTCCAAAAGTTACCTTGCTGGACCATGTTTTAAGTGGAGTGGAATAGAAAATATTGGTGGGTATGAAAAAGAGCTAAGCCTTGTATTCTAAAACTTCTGTTCCATATAACTTTTATGTTAAAGTGTCAGTACTGGGACACAATTTCTTATTGCGGGTCACAATCAAAAACAGTTCGATAGCCACTGCCATCAGTAACACCCCGCCTACCGGATCACCAGTGGGGAAAAGAAAATGCCATGCTTTTGTTAGATCTCCTGAAGCAAGGGCAGGTACAGGCTTCACATTCTACAATGACTGTAGCATTTTCTTTTCCCACCTATCAGAACATTTTAGAAAACATAAAATATTTTTAAATAAGATGAAATATCTGTCCAAGTTATGCAAAAAATGAATATGTAATATTATAAAGAAAGCAATTAATCCACACTTAAAACTAATTGCCTAACCCAGTGGGTCTTTAAATTATTCATTAGTGCTATTTAAAAATAATTGCAGTTTATGAGGAAAACCCATTATGGATTTCTTTTAAGAACTAAAAAAAAAGGGTTTCCTTTTTTATTTTCCAACTGCTTACAGCTCTTGAAACCAACCCAGTTTTAAACCAGTTTAATAGTCTCACAATCCCCTCCCCAATCTAATCAACTTTAACATTTATCATACCAACACTTCGTGAGGGTCCCTGTAACAGATTCTGAACTCATGCAGAGGACAATGATATTGTTCTAAAAGAATATGAGAGGTGTACCCAGAAAGGAAGAGAAGAAGAAGACTTTCAGAGAACAGAGCAAGAAATCAAGATGTAAGCGTTTCTGCAGATGAAGTTTATACTGGTTCCTCCATCTCCAACCAAGTGGCCTGGGGTTTCCCACCGTGTTTGCTCCTGTCAGCCAGGGCTTGTGAGTCCTCCCTCTCTCTCCTCATTTACTTCATGCCTCAAGTTCCTTAATCTCTGTTTCTCTGGTTCCTTCAGAGGACACTCAGAACCATGGCCATAAAATGGTAGGACTGGAAATGACTTTTGTCAAGTTTAGTGCCTTTTACACTGTGTTCACCAGCACCCCAGGAGCTCCCAGTGGGAAAGGGCTGCTGAACCAGCAGGGCTCTGTGATTCCCCAATCCCACCCCGACTCCCCACTCTCCAGACTCCATCAGAAGAGCCTGCTTTTGGGGCTTCCCTGGTGGCGCAGTGGTTGAGAGTAGGCCTGCCGATGCAGGGCACACAGGTTGCCCCGGTCCAGGAAGATCCCACATGCCGGCGGAGCAGCTGGGCCCGTGAGCCATGGCCGCTGAGCCTGCGCGTCCGGAGCCTGTGCTCCGCAACGGGAGGGGCCACACAGTGCGAGGCCCGCGTACCGCAAAAAAAAGAGAAGAGCCTGCTTTGAGTTATTTAAGATTCCATTTGAAGGAAGTGCTTTTCTGCTAAAAACAAAACTTAAAAGTGACTCTCACGGTATACCTAAGAACACCACATCCCAGAAAGGGGAAGCAACTTGCCAAAAGTGGGACAGTCAGTTACAGAACTGGGAACAGACCTGGCCTCCTGACTCTGGGTCTAATGATCTACCCCCTCCATCAAGTGACGTATGCCGAAAAGAACATGAGCCTTGGGTCCAGAATGATGTGGATCTAAATCTGATCTCAGCCACTTTCTAGTTATTTGTCCTTAGAGTTACTCTTTTTTGGTAAGATATCTGAGCCTCAGTCTTTTCCTCTGTTAAAGGAGGAAGCAGCCACATAGCACAGGGAGATCAGCTCGGTGGTTTGTGACCCCCTAGAGGGGTGGGATAGGGAGGGTGGGAGGGAGGGAGACGCAAGAGGGAAGAGATATGGGGACATATGTATATGTATAACTGATTCACTTTGTTATAAAGCAGAAACTAACACACCATTGTAATGCAATTATACTCCAATAAAGACGTTAAAAAAAAAAAAAGAGGAAGTAAAAATACCAGCCTTGCATAACTGGCTAAGCTACTATAAATGAAAACACCTTATATATAATACACACATACTAAGTGCTCAGGTGTGAACAGCATCTTTATCATCAGAGATGTTCCATAAGTACCCCACTGAGAACGTGCTTATGACAGTCATCACTGTGCCAAAGGTGAGAGCGTGCGTACACGCACGCGCACACACACAGAGTTACTAGGACTGTAGACAGACACAAAGAAGACCTTGTGGGCTACAGTTTCACTGATCCCCCTCTACCTTAACAGTGTAGGTCCATGGACACCCCATCCTCTTGGAGTCCTCCGACCCACACCAACACCTCTTCCTTCTTAACCTTGCTAAAAGCAAACAAACTGGGGGTGGGGGAGGCAAAATAAGCAGAACGTGGACTTCTGACCATCATGATAAACATCAAGTTGTAATGGTAAGCAAATAAACATAGCTTTGGAGCTGGACGAAAAGATGGAATCTGGTTAATTAATGACTAGAGTGAAACATAGCTTACTGACACCTGAGATTCATGCCGCCTTCCTAGGGTAACAATACTGTGATTTTTATGGTCTTTCTTTCTGGAGCCAGCTCTCCCATTCATTGTTCTTTGGCTTGATTATGACTGACCCCACCCCACTTCAGAAGTGGACCCTGATTAGCTGAAGCCAGTGGGCGTGTCCCATGCCTCTGGCCACAGCAATTGGTTCTGGGATGGGACATAACTCAGGGCCCAGAAGAGAAAAAAGATGTTTGATGGAACTATTGGGAGAAAGCATCTCTCTTCAGCTGATTCTGATTCTTCTTTTATTTAAGTCTTTGATATTCTGTTCATCATGGATTTTTGCATTATTTTTTTTTACACGTAGCATGAAAATATTATGTACCTTGATTACTGAGTTTTTTTGATGCCCACTTAAATTTTGCATCTGAGGCAAATGCCTCAATCCTCTCGGTCTTGTCCTGGCCCTGGGGGGATGTGGGGCTCACAGCCGCCATAGATATTTCTTCTTTTACTTGAGGAGAGACTTGGGAAATGAGATGGGACCACCGCATGGGGCTTTGGGAGGAAGCCATGGCAAGTACATTGGACCGGGAGAAACCAAGTCCCGGTTAGCTGAGCTACTGGATCAAGCTTTGCCTAAAGTTTAGTCGTGCCGCTTGACAATTTACAAGAACCAGTAAATTCTCTTTCCTCTGACTGATAACCAAAATAACGCAAACTGACATGATAGCTAATTACGAGGATTTCACCTCTGAATGTCTTGCAGAGAGTGTTTCTAAATATCTGAGTAACACTTCCGCTCTAGAGACACATGGTCCATCAAAGAGAGCCAAGTGTCTTTGCTGGCTGTGGTCAATTTTCTGAACAGCAGCTTTCACTGTAGAGTAATATTTTATTCTATAATTTATTAAGCCCCTTTTACACACCAGGTACTGTGTAAACACTCTGTATACCTTATTTCCTGTAATTCTCACCCCCTCGAGATGATATCAGGTCATACTATTATTATCCATATTTTACAGGAAAGGAAGCCAAAACTGAAAGAAAAAAAGCAGCATGTACAATGTCACGGGAAAAGTGGCAGAGGAGGGGTTCACAGCCAAATCTGCTAGTACCAAAGCTGGTGTTCTTAATCACCACCCGATACAGTCTCAAGATTTGGAAGGAAATACCGTTACAGATGCTCAATATGTATTTGAGGGATGTATGAATAAATTTGTTACTTAATTAGTTGAAAGGTGAAATGTTAGCCATTTTGATATCTACTCATTTCATTTCAATTTACCTCCCTTTACAAATAGAGTGTGAAACAGCCTCTTTAGGTTAAGTTTGGGTTAATAGAAGTTTTTCTATTAAGGACATGATTCTCAGGAGTTGCACATCATCAACATTTTTGAACATAAATTGATGAAAAAGCACACACAGATGGAATAATGGCTCTATATCTAAAGAAGTTCCACGGCAAAGTTGGTCTCCTCACTTCAGAGTTTCGGGGGGAAATCAAACCAGATCAAGGACTTCAAAATGTTTTGTAAACTCTGAGGCAAATATACAGTTAATTATTACTATGTTTTTATGTTTATTTTCTTGAGGCAGGGACTCAGTATCCAAAAAGCCTAACTGAATGCTGCATTTCTCTCCTTCTATGACCTAGAGCGATCATTTGATAAACGTTTATAAGACAAAATCAATACAATCTTAAGCAATAAATTTATCGGACAAAGGTAAATATCACAGTACAGAGTTCCAGGTTTTTAGCATTCTTAACCAAAGCAATAAATAAACAGACTCCTCCCAAAGCAAAGATGGAAATATAATTATTCAGTCTCTCCATGTCAGATTTGCTCAGAAATTGAAATATTGTTAGCAAACACGGATTTAAATTTTGTGCTCCAATGAATTGGTAGATCTCTTAGTTTATTGTTTTGAATCCTCTGCATTCTACCACAGGGAAATTATGCAAACTCTCACACTACACGAAAAGAATACTGAAAATTACAGAATTTACCGCTTAGCTGGAAGATAATTTCATGAATCTCTTCTGATCTACTGGCATGGTAGACTGTGTACATTTGTGTTGCCGCTATTCTTAAGACCCATGATCTGATACATGCACTAACTGTGCATGAAACTGCAATGCCCAGCCAACTGTTCAATTCAGCAAATAAAATTCAGGTGGTTTTCTGTGAGGGACTGGTTGCTGAACAGACTTAAGTCATCCTAGAGTCCAAGGTTGGAAATTCACTGTCTGCTTCCAACTCTACCAGACGGTCAGAAGCCCTGGGAAAGCTTTATGAAATGGAAACCCTAGGTCCCATCCCAGGCCCGTTGGATGGGCATCAGAGCCCAGGGAATCTGCCTTTAAATACACCCATCAGGTGATTCCTCTGCACTGCCAGATGGAGAACACTTCACGTCCATGACCCACAGAAGAGGCAGAAATAATGCAATCCTTTACTTTGTCTGCATGACACTTAACCTAAATACTTTCATTTTGTTATATTTATTTACTTACTTATTTTGTATAATACTTGTTGGACCCACTCCCCCCAACCCCCCAGCCCTGCACCCTGGCTGCTATAATGTCATGGAGGTACAAGCTCACAGGCTTTGCTTCCGTCTGGAAAGTCTACACTGCTTAGAAGCTGAGAGAATTGTATTTATCAAGGAGTCTTAGAAGGTGTCTGTTTCAAATGTTCCATCTGCATTCTCCACAGTAGTTCTCTCCCGTTGAGGTTCAAAGTTTTCTCTCCATTACAAATAATAACGCTTCAACTCCATGAAGGCAGCAAGTCTTTCAGTTAAAACACCTCTTTTCACCTGACCATCCAAAATCAAAAAAAGTAACGGAGTGTAGCAGAAAGTACACGGGCTTTAAATCCTGCACTTATTACCTGGCAGATTATTGAGTCCCATCGAGCCTCAGTTCCCTCATCTGCAAAATGGGATTTAGTGGCATTATTATAATATATTATATATACCTCATGGAATTATAAGAATTAAATGAGATAACTCATGTAAAATGTATGCACTAAATAAATGGTAGCTATTATGAGCATCTTTATGACTAAAATGATGGTTTCCAGACCTCTGAACACTGGAGTTCTGTATTAATGTTGTTTAATCTACCATTTTCTTACTGAAGGTGGGAATTTAATTCCAGCTATCGTTTGCCCCAAGCAGTGTTAAATAAACAGATTATTTTATTTAGGATTGGGGAGGTCATACTCCCAAAATGCTTTTCTCTGGTCAGATAACACCTGGAATGATACAATTATTTCTGGACACCTCTCTTTAAAAAAGATACTGACAATCCAAAGTGTTGGGGAAAAGTGTCCAGAGAAGTGTTGGAAACTAAGACTGTGTCCTGTAGGAAATCATTTTAGAATTTGGCATTCTCAGCTAGGAAAAGAAAAGCCATAGGGAAAAGTATGACAGTTGTCTTCAAATATCTAAATAGCTGTTCCAAAGAGCTAGAAAAGACTTCCTAAGATGGTCCCAAGAAGTAGAATTAAAATGCAGGCATCAGAGATGAGCTGTAAGACCTCCCCAGCACTTAGAATCTAAGGATTTTCCTTGAACTGAGCACTCTGCTTCTCTTCAAGCTAACAAGAAATGTGTGTTAATTTGTAAACAGTCATATTACAGTGCTGCCCTTTCTGAATATTCAAAAATGGCTCGGTTCTTGCTAGGAATCGTAGCCTGCAAATTAGAAAGGAACCACTGTAAATCACATGAGAAAAACAACCCCAAAGACATAGATATGTAAGTCACAAAGGTCAGCTGCCTCAGTGAATGATCTAAGGGGGTCCAAAAGCCCCATTTACAGGCGTTGGGCTCTCCAGACTGTTTAGAGCTCTTGAATATCACGATTACTGGTGAAGTAGAGAGGAGGTCCCCACACAAACAACACTGGCTGCTCTACAAAGCCCTGGCCACAGAAAACCCATCCAGAGGAAAGCGGAGACTCTCCTTAACCTGGAAGGCAGACCATTGTTTAACAGAACCTGAATCCCCTAAATTCAGAAAAGAATAGGAAAGCTACTTTTTACTAAACTTGATTTTCGTGATCCAAGGCATGATGCAGTAGATCAGGAACTCTGAAATCTCTTAAGTTTATTCCATAAAAATATAACAGCGTTTGCTTTGTTTGCTAATAACGCCACTGTATTAAAAACACATGTTTTCTGGGAAAATCAAAGTCTAATGAAATTTTTTATGCCTACTATAAAAATAAAGGAATTAGCTAATCTAAATGATATATAAGTACCCTTCCTGCAAATAAATTTCATGCCTCTGTGACTATCATTTTATTCTCCAACAAACTATTTATGGGTGCAGTGGTCTGAATGTGTCCTCCCAAAATTCATATGTTGAAACCTAACCCCCAAGGTGATGCTATTAGGAGGTAGGACTTTAAGGTGATGAGGTCATAAGGATGGAGTCCTCATGAATGAGATTTAGTGCCCTTATAAAAGAGGCTCCAGAGAGCTCCCCATCCACTTCCGCCATGTAAGGATACAACAAGAAATCTTTGACAAGGAAGAGAGCCCTCACTTGACCGTGCTGGCACCCTGATCTTGAACTTCCAGCCTCCAGAACTGTGAGAAACAGATTTCTGTTGTTTATAAGCTACTCAGTCTGTGGCATCTTGTTTTAGCGGCCCAATGGACAAAATCAGTGAAAGAAGCCATTTAAGGAGGAAGACAAAGGGGCATAAAGGGTTTACACCCCTTGCTCTGGGTCATGCAGTGGAAGTGGCAGAATTGGCACCAAAACGCAAACCTGCTTCTCCTGCTGGTATGTTATAGACTGAAGCAGCCAAAGGCCCTGGAGACAGCTATTGGGCAGTGGTGGACAAAATGCCAACCAAACCTGGGCTAACCCAAGGCAACAGAATAAACTGGAGGGGGTGTCATATTAAGACCCAAGGTTAGAAAGAGTGGAGCCAACACCAGAAATGCCAAAATTAAAGTGGAAGATGGGAAAGAGGCTTTTTGGAAAATCAGTGATGTTCCAGATATTCTAAGAGGCACTCTCATACCAAGCAGAGCCTTGGCATTTGCTAAGTTAACATGAGTTTCCAAATCTTAGTTTTGAAATCCTGTGAGTAACCTGGAAGTCTTACAACAAGATCACAAATTAGACCTCCATGTGGAAAGGCAACACCACTATTTTGCACAGCTCCAAGGGACACGATTTACAATATGGAAGACGTCTTCTAGAGTTGTACAACATGGCAGACCTGCAGCGTGGTTCATATATTAGAAGAGATCTGAGCTAGTGAGCAAGCCTAGCTTACTGCCCAGCATCTGTATCTTGATGTGGCCTTGTTGCTTTCTCTATTCAATGTCAATGTAAAATATTTTGTGTCTTTATGGAAAAAAGAAAGAAGATCCCACTTGTAAGTCAGTTGCAAATATGAACAGTGGAAACAGAGAGAAAGTGAAGTATTGGGTAAATTCAAGGGTAAGATGTCGAAGCCGGTAGCTGCTTGGAGGCACCCAATACTCTATCAGGAATCAAGAGAAAGTAATTTCTGAAACTGTTCAGCAAGTGTTCCAGCAAGAATTTATTTTAATTGCTTTATAAATCGCTTTAATCCTATATTTAGTGAATCATTAGGGGCCTGAAAGGGTCACTTAAAATTTTCACTTATGCTTAACTAAGTTTTATAGAGAAAATTACATGTTTTAATAGTATTCATAGAATTGGGGACTTGCAAAGGTCTCGAGATGTGTTCTTTTAAAATAGCAAAGGTCTGTGACTCAATATCACTTAATTCTCACAATAGCCCTGTGAGATAAGGATAATTATTCTCTTTTTACAGATGAGGCAACTGACCTCGGAGAGTTTGAATTATTTGCAAAGTAAGCAATCTGAAGGAAGAATTCTACTTTATTCATCTTTCCATCTCAAGGGTCTGGCACACAGCAGACACTCGGCATTATTATCTCAAGAGCTCTCAGAGCGTGGTCCCCAGAGCGGCAGCAGCAGCATCACATGGGAACTTGTTAGAAATGCAAGCTTCCATGCTCCACCCCAGACCTCCTGACTCAGACACACCAAGTACAGGGCCCAGCAACCTATGTTCTAACAAGTGCTCCAGGAGATGCTGGTGCACAAGAAAGTGGGTAAGAAGACTTGTGTTCAATGAACAGTGAATGGAGTGTATCCAGGTGGGAAGGGGTGTGTCCAAGTTCCTCAAAGCCCTAAGAGAAGCAGGGGAACGAGTTTCAAAGAGCTAGGATAGTCACATCCCAGTTCTGGAATGCCCTCTGCTAGAGTCTCCCCTTGTCCTCATTCTCAGAAGAGCCAGGTGCTCTCAAACCACAGTCTGCCAGGATTTGCTCACAGCCGCAGTGCCCACACCTCACCTCGCCACCAGCAAAGTGCAGAGAATCCGGGTCCCTTCCCTGAAGTGAATACAGTTAGTCAAGTTTCCATTTTCCTTTCTTCCTCCCAAATCTCCCACAGTGAGGGCCACCTGAGGAAAGAGGATTTCATCTTGCACAAAACCAGATTTATCTTCGTTCTTTGCACAACAATACAGTGAAAGCCCAAATGATTTTTCCCTATTTGGTAGCACTTAGAAGTTTTTCATCAGTGCAAGAATAAAGAATTCCTCATTTCTGTTTACGGCAGCAGTACAGCTGAAAGGAAACAATTTAAATCCATCAACCACTGAGATATTTTTGACTTAAGACAAGCACCAAAATTTCAGGTATTAATCTAGAATCACAGCTTGTCTGAGAGGAAAAGGGCCTAGAAGATCATCTATCTAGTCAGTGCAAGATGCTGTGCAGTGGTACCCAGATACAGTTTCTGTTAAAGAATTATGTATATATTATAATATTATAATATGTATCAGGAAAAACTATATAACTTTCATATCAAACCCATGATTTCATGGATATTATTGCTTAGGGTAAAGCTAAAGTAATTAGTGAGTAAAAACAAAAGTGAAATGATTTCAGAAAACACCAGTAAATAAGCAATAGCCCAGATGTCACGCAGATACGGCAGAAATCATGAAAGTGATACAGGAAGTTTGGTGATTAGTCAATCACCCCTAATAGGGTCCTGGCAGGAAAGAGAATTCACCCCACCTGGATGGTTCAAATGGAGAGACTCCAATGAAGGAAATTTCTTAGGGAGTTATAGGCAGGGTTAAGGGAACCAAAGGTGGTGGTGAGACATCTAGAGACCAACGAGAAGAGGAAGTCATCACTGCCCTAAGGCTGAAGGGACAAGGGAAGGAAACAGGGTGGCTAGAGCTATGGAGGAGAAATGGCCTGGCAAGAGCCAAGACAGAGCCCTGCAGAAAAGGAGCAGGAAAAAAACAGCTCAACCTTTCCTCCTGCCCTCTCATCTCCTGTCTCTGTTTCCCATTGGCCAAATCCAACCGGAAGCCAGAGGGCAAAGGAACCAGGAGGTCCCAATGGTAGAGGCCAGCCTCCAGGATACAGGTGGCACAAAAGATGAGTACAGTGGTGGGAAAGGCAATGGCTAGTGACAGGGAGACACAAGTCTATTGCACCTCCTCCTTTTAAAAATTTTTTTTTTATTGGAGTATAATTGCTTTACAATGTTGTGTTAGTTTCTGCTGTACAATGAAGTGAATCATATATGATTTTATATATATATATATTCCTTCCCTCTTGGACCTCCCCACCAATCCCACCCATCTAGGTCATCACAGAGCACCGAGCTGAGCTCCCTGTGCTGTACAGCAAGTTCCCACTAGCTATCTCGCACCTGCTCCTTTTAGACATACAGAGCTATCCACCAAGCAGGAAAGGCAGGCCAAGGGGGCTTCAGGGAGAGTCACTGGGCTGGTTAGAAATATGACTAGAGAGATTGGTAGATCTCAGAAAAGTTCCTTAAGCACTCTGCACCTCAGTTTCTTTATCTGAAAAGTGGGAAGATTATTTCTACGTTGCAGGTTTCTTGGGAAGATTATAAACTACACGTCACATTGCTGGGACACAGAAGATGCTCAATAAAAAGTAGCAACTTTCACGCCAAGTGAAAGAAGCCAGACACAAAGGGTCACATATTGTATGATTCCCTTTATAAGAAATATCCAGAATAGCTAAATCTATAGAGACAGAAAGCAGACTGGTGGTTGCCACAGGCTACGGGGAGGGGAGAATGGGGAGTGACTGCTTAAGGGGTTGGATTTCACTTGGAGGGTGCTTGGAGGAGGATAACGAAAATGTTTTGGAACTAGATAGATGTAGTGGTTAGACAACATTGTGAATATACTAAATGCCATTGAACTGTTCACTTTGAAATGGTTGTATTAATTTGCTAGGGCGGCCATAAAAAAGTACCAGGAACTTGAGTGGCTTAAACAACAGTAGTTTATTGATTCACAGTTCTGGAGGCTGGAAGTCCAAGATCAAGTTGTCTCATGGTTAGTTCCAGACCTCTCTCCTTGCCCTGTAGATGGACAACTTGTGTGTGCCTCTGTGTCCAAAGCTCCCCCTTTTATAAGGATAACAGTCATATTGGATCCAAGGACCCAGCTACTACACCAGGATCTCACCCTAACCAATCTGCAGCAATCCTCTTTCCAAATGAGGTCAATTCTGAGACACTGGGGGACTTCAACATATGAATTTTCTGGGGAGGAGACACGATTAAACCTGTAACAGTGGTTAATTTTATATTATATGAATTTCACTTCAATAAAAAATGGGGAGAAAAGTAACTAATTATTATGATCATTATTATGAAAGTCAGTGGCCCATTATCTCAAGGTTGGGTGTAGCATAAAAACATCTATCAAGAATTAATTCTTCAAAAAAAAAAAGAATTAATTCTTCATGGGCCCTAATTTAGCCTCTTGCAAATACCACTACTTTGACTGTCATGGATAATGCCCACCCATCCCACATACCTTCAAAAGCACCTGGAGGTACAGATAATGAAGTTTTCATGGGGATATTAAGAAGGTAATTAGAATGTTTGTTGGAGATACCAAACTTTTACGCTGGAATGAAAACTGTATACAGTGTAGCATGTTTTAGTAAGCATAAGCATGCCATAGCAACCTATTCAGCAAACTTAATGTCTGTTAATTCCTTACTAAAGACATTCTGACAATCCTTAACTAATTAACTGGGAGTTTCCTGCTCTGATCTACACTGGCCTCATCTTCACCCCATGCTGGCTGAATTTTGCTGAGCCTACTCACTCCCTGGGGGTCTCATAACACTCCTGAACCTTGTCACTCTGTGATATGACCATTGCTTACGTGTTGCCTTTATCATTGTCTACAGCCGGACACTGGGTCACCGTAAATGCTCAGGGTTCTCTTTAAGCATGGATCTTTGTTTCCCTCCAACATGTTTTGTCAGATGGGAGCAATCCGATTCATCTGTGAACCCTGGAGATGGCATCTGTTTGGCCCTGGAGTCCGCTGTCTAAACCTGGAGCTCAGTCTTAAGTCAGCATGGTCTGTGCCTGCTCCAGTGTCCCGCCTACAAAATCACACAGCTCTACAGTCCCCACCCTCCATCGTGCCTCCCTGTGTATCATTACATCACCAAACCCAACCCTGAGAGCAGCGCTTCTAGAGATTCACGTCCCCCACCATGTACGCTACACGGCAGATGGCAATATGAACCCCAACAGTGTAATTTTACCAGGAAGACAGCAGACTGCTCCAAAAACCAGCTAGAAGGGGGAATTCAAGACCCAAGGAGGATGTCAGGGCAGGGACAAGGCAGCACAAGAATGACAGGAAGTGAGCAATGGTCCAAGGAACTCACTGGGAGGTTCTTATTCAGGGTTGGCCACCAGCACATGGCATAGGAAGTTCCAGTCTCAGAAAAAGGCAGCAGAAAAAAAAAAAAAAAAAAAAAAAAAAGGCAGCAGAGAGAGGGGTGATTTTGGCTTTTCATGGTTCTCCCAACCAAGATCAAAATCACACCGGAGCTGGGGTAGACCTTGGTTATCAGCCAAGGTTAAGGCTGAAGTAAGAGAGAAGAGGGGCAAAGTACCATGATACCATTTCCCCCCATTCCCCATGGGGTGGTCCCACCTCTCTGAAGATATTCCAAAGACCCTGAACATCTTTCTTCCAAGCCTCTCTTCCCTACCACCTTGCTCTTAGCTCATTTTTTATTCCACTTTCTACATCTCTACCTTTATGAGTTACCTATTGCTGTTTAACAAAGCACCAAAATCTAGTGGCTGCAAACAACAATAATTTTCTGTGCACAATTCTGCAGTTTGGGCTGAGCTCCGATGGGAAGTTTTGTGCTGGCCTCACGGGGGTCACTCATGCGGCTGTAGTCTGATAAAATTGAGGCTCCAAAAAGTTGAGACAGAAGTTGAACTAAGGTCTCCTGGCTTGTAACCTTCTATACAACATGCTGTCTACCAATTGACTCGTTTCGGGATAATATGCTCACAATAATTCAGCTACTTTGGCAAATGCTGTTCTGTCATCTACGTTGTAAAAGGCAGCATGCCACTTTCCCTCCATCTAGCTAGAACCAATTTCTAATACGAGCATGCTCCAACAGAAGTGTTTCTGTGTTAACTATCATTATTTCCAAGGTTGAGTCGAAACATTCCAACAACTGGCTTTATGTACAACATGTACGCAATGAAGGTGGGAAAATGACCCCTGATCCTCCTTGGCATCAACAGTCTTCATTTAATTGGGGGTTGGGATGGCCATGGGGTGAGTATTTGGACTGGGTCCCTGTCTCCAGAAACTGCACAGTGAAGGCAGGGGAGCTGCTCTCCTCCTTGCTAGAATTACAGGAAGGAAGGAGATTTCACATCTCTTATAGGCGTCCCATCCCAAAGACTATATTTCCCTCTGTGTTTTCACAGCCAGGAAATCCCTCATCAAATCCAAATAAATCTTTCTCTTCTCTAAGCCCTCATCTTGTTCTGTTTTCTAGGAGGAGCAGGAACAGCTGGTTGTTCCTAAGAAGCAGCAACCCCTGAAATCTGCCCACCCCAGCACGCTGTGGGATTCCAAATATTTAGTGTCAGACATCTGAGTGTTAATTACCTTACCGTGGCTCCCACAGGCATGCTGATGGGTGCAAAGCCAAGCTGGCTGAGCTAAGCATTGCAGGAAGAGAAAGCAGAAAGCAGGTTCTGGCATCCCCAGAGGGTCCTAACGTCACCCAGCTTCTCACACTTTGCTTGTCTGTTACCATTCCTCACTCTACCCCAATGCTCTGCATCCACCACCCTCACCCAGACACCCACATCTGCAAAGACACACGCACGCAAAGAAAAACTCTGGGATTGAGCTTTCACCCACTTTCTCAGCTTCCCTCCCACCCTGTCTCACCCCACCTTGATCCATTTATTTCCTCTCCGGCGTTGGAATGTTCCCTCCTCCCTTAGTCCAAAACTAAAGCCTCTTCTCTACAGCCGCATGTCTTATCTAGTCCCTTGCCCACAGCTAGGGTTTTCTGGGAACAGCTTTGCACAATAAGTGCTTTCTCACATAGCCCATGGTATTTTCCCATGCTGCAGGAGGACTGGGAGAACCGGAGTCTGCATCACACATTACTGACAGGAAGACTTAAGGAGTAATCACTGCAGAACAAACACCCCATAAACATTTGGTACACCCTGACCGAGGATGCAAAATAAAACCTTAAAAGTTTGTCACTGGGCCTCTTTTCACAAAATGCACTGTGGGTGGGAGGGCATTTAGCTGGAACTAGCACATAAATATGGTTATTATATAAATATAATAAAAATATCTAATTTTATAATGTATGTAGTGATCTAATCAATAAAAATCATAAAAAGAAAAAACTAGATCATTAAAAAAAAACAGTCCCATTAACCAGAGATAGTTCTGGACCCCACCTGCTATTACTATTGGGGGACTGGGGTCCCTTGAGGACTTGAATCTACATAATCCTGGTATCCATGCTCCTCTTGGGTCCTTTGCGGGCCTTACAAAATCTCTACTCTGCTCCTCCTGCAAATGAAGTGTTATCAGGAACACGCAGATCCCGGGTTCCAGGCCCTCGTCACCTGGTCCCCCCCACACTCCCGGTGAGAGGCCTAGATCAGGGACTGGCCAATGGGACTTCTAATAAGGTTTTGACCATTCCACAGAATAGAGGGGATGTAACCTTATAATCACATACACAACAGCCCTTAACGGGGGGAAAACTCCCCAGAGAGCCAGCAAAACCTTTATGTATTCACCAACTTAGGCAATTACTTACTGTTTTGCAATTAAATTCACTCAGGAAAACGGAATCATTACTGTGAGGAGCAGCTAACCAGCAAAGGGTGAAAGTGTGCTTTCAGCCACATGGCAGGCAATTCCCAATAATGTCGACAGAGAACTGCACTGAGTAACTGTGAAGCAAGACTCATCCCTGGGAGAGTCTCTGAAGTTTCACTATCACAAAGGGAAGCGGTAAAGTGTGGGGACTGAGCGTGGCTGTATAAAGCCATCGTTTTCATGCAAACAGACAGACCTTCTAGGTCAAGTTGACCAATGCCACCCAGTTCGTTATAGAGTATTCTTCCATCCTGTCCAAGCTTTAGGGGGACAAAAGAGAGTATCTTTTGCAAAAGCTTCATTTTTTACTTTCTTTTAACATATTGAGATTCTGCTCATAGCAAAGAAACACTCAAGAGTAGTATCCGTCTTGAGTTAGTGAATAAAGACCCTTAATATGCTGAGAATCGTGCGGAAGGAATGCACAAGGTCTCAAATACAAAATGGACCATCGTAGGATCCGCGTTTGGGGTTGCTGGCCATCTTCTCCAGAAGGGACACACTGAAAGCAACAAACACAGAGCACCCATCCTATTAATTGTTGTCACTTTCTCAACAAGGAGACAAAAGGACGTCTTAGAACTATCTTTGTCATCAGCCTCTGCACAGACAGGTATGAACGTATCAAACTGGCATCAAGTCACTGGATAGTGCCAGCCCTGGCGCAAATATGCTCAGCCTGGGTCAAACCCCATACAGCATGTTGTCCAGTAAAAATCATCGTCCCTATATCAGAACAACCCAGATTTTCACTCATTTGCATGAACTAAAGCCCCTGCCCTAAGGGTTAATTTTATAAAGGCTGGGTGTGGATTATAAATTCAGAGAGGAAAGACATTGCTTCTTGCTTTTATTTTACTCCTGTAGGCTCTTAGTATGTGATTGCTCCATCCACCCCATAAGAAGGAGGGATGCCGATGAGAAAGCAAGTGGAAGAAAACAAGAGTTAATCAGGAAAAGGCAGGAGATTCAGAAGAATCTTTCACTGGGTTCCCCGTAGCACTGCTTGCCTGGAAGACAGTGAGCCAACCGGGGGTGACGACTACAAACAGAATAATCCCAATAACAATAATAATAATAATAACAGCTAACACCCACTGAGTGCTCTCTGTGAGCCAGGCACTGAGCTAGGTGCCTACACACATTACCTGACTACATCCTCTCGATACCCCATGTGAATTTCAACCTCCCAACTTCCCTGCATGGTAGGTACTACTGTTATTCCCATTTTACAGATGAGGAAATTGAGGTTAAACAATGTAGGAAAGGAGATATAAAGTGAACGGATCGGGCAGGGTAAGGGATGGTCATTGAGTGGGGGAGTCTGGCCAAAATATGCAGGGGAGGAGATAAGTCCGCAATGTCAACAAAGGCAGATGAGAGTAGGTGGGTACCATGGATCCCAGCAGGCAGGCAGGGTCCAGGGTCTGGATCATTAGCGGATGAGTCAACCAGCCCAGTGGTCCACAGTAGCAAGCTCTAATCATAGGCACAGAAAACACACGTATTGAGCAGCGGCTCTTTCATAGTTGCCGCCACGTAAGATTCTTATAACCACCCTGAGGTACAAACACTGGGACAGAGGCTCAGAAAACGCCTTACCTAAGCTCTCCTTTGGGAATCAGTAGAGCCATCACTCAAGGATCATTCAAGCTCAGGCCACCTGTTAAATGCAGCTTCTTCCAGGGCTGCTTAACCAGCTCCTGATTCATATATTCCTGAAACACTCACATGTCGACCATTTGGAGTATAAACCAAAGTCCCAGAGCCTGAGTGACCCCCTGGATAACACGAGAAGACCATTTCTACAATGGGATGGACTGTTAGTTCAGCAAGTGACCTATGGTGGCAGGGGCAGGACACCCAGGATTAAAGGGCAAGGCAGAGGTCAAATCATCAAACTGAGAGGACTGAGAACAGCAGGCGTGCCCGGGGATGCCCAAGTCATGGAAGAAGAGAGGTCGTAAATTAATGGATCAGATTGAAGCAAGAGGCCCGGGCTTCAGTGTCCCCTGCAGCAGTGAAAAACTCATCAGCGAGAAACTGCACTGTTGAGAGAGGGAAGGGGATCTGTGTCTTTCGGAAATCCTCTACCTGGATACTCTAGATGCTGGGATGGTAGAGGACAAATGTGAGCCTTCTTTGAGTTCTTACCCCTTGGGATGACCATGATCCAGCCCAGTATCTTTTTTTCTCCAACACTAACATCCTTCCCACTTAGTCTGATGTGGTGTCATGCCCAAGACCTTATTCAGATGCTCCTTTTTAATTCACTTCCAGGTGCAACCCTGGCAGTCAGGCACTTTGAGGCAGGTGTAAAGAGCTGAAGCATCCTCTTGTGTTATTAACTGTGTTATTAAAAGCTTCCTCCCAGTGATGCGTCCCCAAACCCTCAGAGGCTTCTAGCCTCTGTCTCACCTGAGATACAGGTAGATGCCCCTTGTTAAGCTGTCAAGGCTAATTACCAGTTCACACTCTAACCTCTTTTCTAATTTAGAAAGACTCTTCATTTCAGTTCCTTTTGACTTCCTTGCTTCCATTT